GGGGGTGGGGGGGGAGGCGGGAATCTTGGGTGAGTTCCCACACCTTTTTCCCCAGGACTTGACCCCTGCTGGTGGGGACCGGGATAACCCCTGTCGGCCCAGAGGGGTGAATGAGACCAGGAGGACGCCAGCTATGTTGTTGCAGTAGCCGGGTTGGAATGCAAGGCAGCGGCCGTCCACCCCACTCACCTCCCTTGTAGGCCTCTGGTCCCAAAGCCCAGAATGTCTCTCCAGGACCCAGGATCACCCGATTTCAGGTGCTCCAGCTGCACCGGGACACTCCAGGACTCTGTACCACGAACTTCCAGGGTTTTCAATCAGAGTAAAGAAAGTATTTCCCCCAAATTAGCTGGATTGCTCAGGAGCCATAGTGACCTACAGACTGCCAGCATGGCTGCCCGGCCCCACCCCCCCCTTTTTATTTTTAAAGCTCCCCATTTAGTGTTTTTTTTTTTTTCTTTCCACTGCCTCGTGTCTTGTTGGATCTTTTTCCTGAGCACCACCATGTTAGTGTTCCTGGAAATAATGATAAGCGCATCTCATTCATTTGCCCACATCAGCTCCCCGCGGTCACATTCTGGGACATGCCTAATTGAAACACGGAGTATTCTTGAAGAAATTTAGTAGACACAGAAAGTGGAGCTTACTTTAGCTGCACCCAGTGTCTAAGAAAGTCAGGAAAATACAGTAATCTATATGCTTTTTTTTTTTTTTTTTTTAAAGTTAGAAAAAAAAAAAAGTAGTAAAGAGGTAAATAAGAGAAAAGTTATTATGTTAATGTAAGTCTGGTTGCCAGTGCCACTTTAATGGTGAATTGTGGTGATGGTGGCATCATGCAAAAAGATCTGAGGCTGCAATTTCTAGCAAAGGTCTGAATTTACGGTTACAATCTTGAACCCAAAGAGGGATGTTTAGTAACTTGAAAACAAACTGGAAAACTTAGATCAATACAGGAGTTGAAAAATCGAATTCTGTTTATAAATCGGTAAGTTGATTATCAAGTGATCATGGTTGTGGAGTGAATAGATACGAGGGATAAGTGTCTATTCCAGACAGCGCTATAATCTCCTACAGACCCCGCCATGACACCGTTGTTGGGAATCTGTGTCTATACAAAGCTTCTCATGTTTTCACAATATTGCATTTTTTTGGTAATAAAATGCTTATTACACAGTATGAATGTTTCACTGTTTCTGCAGAAAATGCTCGCCTTGTACTTTGTCACATGTTTACATTTTTAGTATGGCAACTCTGTTCCTTCTCACTTCCCTCTACATATGTAGATCTTTCTTTCTTCATAAGTTAGTTTTTCTTTTAAGGGGCATTTCAGGCAACAACACTTTACAAGCAATGTGTAGGTTAGGTTAGAAACAGGTCATTCTGGGTTTGTTGTTTTTCTTTAAATGATTATAGTGCCTAGAGCTCGTGTCCTGCATTCCTGTCAAACGGTTACCTTCCAATTCAGAAGGATGATGCTCATCGCCTACCACAACCTAATATGACTCTGCTGGAGCTGTGTAACAATTGTGTACCAGAGATGCAGGGGAGTGTACACCTGCATACTCTAGGCACCATAACTACTAAAAGAATTGACATTCAAAAAATAATTTATATATTAATATGTTTATTTGAAGTCTCTGGGTGCTGTAGTTTAGCTGCTGGCTGTTCACAGCAGGAATTGGACAGCTGACCTACAACTCTCCCAAAGCCCATGTGGGACCAATGTCGCAACAATGATACAAAACTCTAGTAAGCTTCATTCACTTTCTGGTTTGGTGTATTTTTTAAATTTTAACATTCGGTAAGTTGTAGTAGCATATTAAGGGAAGGTAGACCTTGATAAAGTCCAACAATGTTTCCATAAATCCCAGTAATCAAAAAAAAAAAAAAAAGACAAAGAGAAAAATAAAAGGATAGAGCAGAGAAAAAAAAATTAAAATCCCAGGAGGAAATCTAGTTAAAAGGACCACTATAGTGCCATAGGGTCCCCCTCACCCTCAGGGCCCCCATCCCGCCGGGCTCTGGGGGGAGGAAGGGGTTAATCCCTTACCCTTTTTTCCAGCACCGGCATTCCCTCTGCGCTGGGGACTCTCCTCCTTTCCAGTCATCGGCTGAATGCGCATGCGCAGCAAGAGCTGCGTGCGCGCATTCAGCCAGTCCAGAAAATCACAGTGAGAAGCGTGGAAGCGTCTCTCAATGATACAGCTACTAGAGGCTGGATTAACCCATTTGTAAACATAGCAGAAAGGGTTAATCCTAGATGGACCAGGCACCCAGACCACTTCATTAAGCTGAAGTGGTCTGGGTGCCTATAGTGGTCCTTTAAAGAGTGTAACAGAGTCAACTATTTATCACCTGAACTTGGGTACATGTATCCCACACAGCTAATGTTTCTGTATGCTTTGAGAATTTGAATGCATTTCATGAAGTCTGGTATGTTTTACAAAGATCCCCGAAAGTGATAGATCTGGTGGCTGCAGGGAAGTTTTACTTACTTCAAGTTGTCCCTCGCAGCTGCCATCTTAATTCTGCTGTCCTTTTCGGGTATTGGCAATTTATTTGCCAGGTGCCGCAGCAGTGCTGAACTCTTGGATATGCAAGACCATGGGAGCCTTCACAGATTGATGTGTATATTCCACAGCGGTCAATAGTGATGGTACTGAACAAAAGCTGATGGTGGAACTTCGTCTTTTGTCAAACACAGATTTGTCTTTCAGTGAAATTCCAAAGCAGTTGTGATCAGTATTTTCTAAAGATTATACAAGAAATACTGAAAAGTGACAGAGCCACTTTAAAGAGATTCTATAGTGTTAGGAATACAAAGGCACGAGTGCATTACGTCCTCCCAATAGGAAAACATTGACTCCTCCTGTCTGTTGGAACTTTTGTGACACACTTCCGTGCGTTCCACTTACAAAATGGCCTTTTTTTAATACTAATACACTAGGTTACATTTGTGTTTATAGGCTTACCAGCAAGAACCCCCAAATTCTGTGTGTATATATCTCTCTCTCTATATATATCTATCTCTATCTATCTATATACACATACATACACCTATATATACATACATATATACACACACATACACACATTTCTACTACTTTGTTACCCAAGACTTTATTGTACCAAAAACTGTGTTAAATATAGATTTAGAAAAGGAAAGTCCCTGAGTGACCGCTCACCTGCAAACAGAAAGTACAGCTCTCTTAATTACAGTAGATGGGCATGACTAGTTTTAACAATGATTTGATGGAAAAGTACCAAATAGTTTAGACAGTATTGTAATTGCCTGCATTTGGGATGCATGTGATGTACAATTTCCTGGTTTTCCTTATGTCTTCAATTGTGCCAACTGAATAAATAGTGACTCAGCAGGAGGATAATGCATCACTATTTAGCAACGGTGACATTATGAAACCAAGGCGCAAATTCTGTTATCAGACTTGTGGACAAACCATGTGTTATGACCAGCTTTGGCATGGGGTGAAACATCTCCAGGGTTGTATTCACCGAATAATAATGATGATAAAAATAAGTTCTCTAGTTTTCTAGATACTTTCGCCAAAAAAATGACTTGGGAGACTTCCCATCACAACAGGTGTTAGAGCCATTGCACAGTTTTGCAGACATTCTAAAATTAGCATGATTGCAGGAAAAAAATTGTTGGAAATTTAAAGAGAATTTAGAATTTAAGGCTAATATAGCCAAACCGGAAGTATAGTTGACTTGGTAAACTTTTCCAATTTAAGCTACTTTGGAATTAAAGGGAAACTATAGTGCTAGGAAAACGAAATGATCGCTGCCGATAGTGGCCCCCCTCCCTTGCGCCCACCCTCTCCATGGTACATATGGTGTTCTGTCACTTCCCTGATTCCAGTTTGATGTCCCTTGGCGCTGTTAGCCGATTCAATCTCTTCTCCACCAACGTCAGACAGCAAGGGGGGGTGCTACATATGTGCTTGCGCACTTGCATTATGACTTCCTATTAGAACACATTGTATAAGGTTTTCTTATGGGCATTTGGGTGACGCTGAATGTCCTCTGGTGGACCGCCGTGAGAGGTGGAGTAAACTCTGGCAGCTAATTATTGCAGTTTATTAAAAAACTGAAGGGTTAAGGGACCTGGGACACTGCACCCAGACAAAGTCCATGAGCTGAAGTACTCTGGGTGCCTTTAGTGTCCCCGAGTTAAACATTTATTTTTGAATTCTCTTTAGTAAATAATCCTGCTTGTCTTCTTTTGAATGATACACTGACTAAGATCCAATGATAGGATGGGAGGACAACATCTATTTCTGAGTCACTAATGTGGGGACTATTTTTAGGCAAATTGGTTCTTGGATATGTAATTATCTGCTGATTTGGTCATCTCTTCTTCCAATTTGCATACTTTTGTCTGTAGAATCTGATGCTTTACATAACTGAGGAACACAATAGATGTAAAGAATTATTATATGTTCCACGTGTGGATGGGGGTAATTAGTCAGCAATAATCTGTCCTTAGGAACATTTTATTCACTCTTTCTGAAAGCAGAGGTGTTTGCAAATGGCCTAAGAGTTAAAACCGATTTTGTCTGTATGTGGATATCTAGTATTTTGTATAAATTAAGGAAACTTCAGTAGCACTATGACTAGAAAATGCATGTTCTAAGTTGTCTTTTCCCACAACCTGAATGTCTGAGGTTCTTTTCTTTGAAAGTTGAGCCATGCAGGGTAGTACAGAGTTCCTCAATCAGCCCTCTCGTGCATCAAACTGTGCAGAGTTCAGGATTTCCTCGAAACAAGCAGGGGTAGGTAGCTTAAATCTTAACATGTATGGACCTTGCCTAATGGCTGAAAAATCGATGGGTCCTCCATTGAAGGGAATCTGAAAACCTGTATGGATGTATGATATCTTTCCTTAAAAATCCATTCTGCTAATAATATTAGAGCCAAGTGCTAAAAGAGATCATTAATCATGGAAACGAATGGAACAAGACTAATCATTGTTCTTCATTAAAAGGGTGAAAAAAATTGCAGAAATATTTAAAATACCGGAGGATTTTTAGCTGCTGTGGATTTATATATCCCATGATGCCTTGCCTGCAAAGAAACTATATTTGCAAAACCTTATTGAAAATGGAGCCCCACGGCAGCCTAGTGCTCCCTTTAACCCATGCCTGCTAAAGAAGATAAAATAAGATGAATAATGATTCATAGTTTTGTGGGTGTGTGAGGTTTCCTCATGTTCATGTTAATTGAACTCCTGGCGGGGGATAAGATATTAAAACACAATATAGTTTTTTCTTCTAATGATAAACAAGCAGACATAGTTCATTTTAAAAACATTACGCTTTTATTCAAGGAGCCCTCACTGCCCTCTCACTTCAATAATATTAATTAAAATATTAAACAAGATTTAACAAACCTCCGCTAGAACAACAGGAGGTAACACTTACAGCAACGGACACTGTACCAA